GAATGAAGTGACTGCGAGCCCATCTTCAAACATTCTAGATGCATCCATCGCACCCTCCCTTGTTTGGCAGTACGAGGAGGGATTCTTATCGAGCAGCACCGAGTCAGGTAGTGAGCCAGAATCTTATTCCACCGAGTCTGTGGAGTCAGAATTAGGTTCCAGCTCGTCTGAGTCTGAGTCCAGTATTCCTGGGGGTGACAACCTAGATTCCACAGTCCTGTCTAGGTCGTCTTTTTCTTTTTCCTTTGAGTCTGTTGTAACAGAGGAATCAGGCGACTTGGAAGTGATTAATGAGAATGGAATGGTTGTGGCCTTCGAGTACTTTTCTGTGCCTTTGATTTATTAAATTAATTTAGACTTTCAAAATTTTGATGAAAACAATGAGGAAGAAATTCCTCCGGTTTTGAAATACTTGCTAGATCAAGAGCAGGAGAGATTTGTTAAACCCTTGGTTGATGAAATCACCCAAATTAATGTTGGTACTAAGAGGGACCCGCGGCTGGTGTAGATCGGGTCCACGTTGTCTTCGGAGGAGCGCAAGCGCTTAGTTGCTTTATTAAAAGATTTCAAAGATGTTTTCGGTGGTCCTACGAAGACATACCTGGAATCGATCCTGAGATTGTACAGCACCGGATCCCTCTTGATCCAGAGGTCCGACCCGTTAAGCAGAAACTCAGAAGGATTCGCCCGGACTGGGCTATCAAGATCAAAAAAGAGGTCACCAAGCAAATTGACTCAGGGTTCCTGCTGGTAACTGAATACCCAACTTGGTTGGCCAATATAGTTCCGGTGCCGAAGAAGGATGGCAGAATTTGGGTATGCGTGGACTTCAGGGATTTAACTAAAACCAGTCCGAAGGACGACTTTTCTCTACCGCATATCAACGAATTAGTGGACTTCACTGCAGGGCATGCATTGCTCTCATTCATGGATGGCTTTTCTGGCTACAATCAGATATTGATGGCACTCGAAGATTGGGAGAAGACTTCTTTTACCACCCCGTGGGGGACCTATTATTATAGGGTGATGCCGTTTGGGCTGAAGAACACTGGGGCTACATATCAACGGGCTGCGACCACAATTTTGCACGACATGATCCACAAAGAGGTTGAGGTGTACGTAGACGACATGATTGTCAAGTCCAAGGAAAGAGAGGGCCACTACACCGCCTTGCAGAAATTCTTTCAACAGATCAGGGAATATCGGTTGCGGCTGAATCCTTAGAAATGTACATTTGGTGTTACTGCAGGGAAAATGCTGGGGTTCTTGATCACACAAAGAGGTATCGAAGTCGACCCTTCCAAAATCAAGGCCATCTTAGAAATGCCACCACCGAGGGCTGAAAAGGAGGTGCGAGGCTTTCTTGGTAAAGTACAATTCATAAGACGGTTTATTGCTAAATTAACCTTTACTTGTGAACCACTCTTTGGTCTCCTGAAGAAAGGAAAGAAATTCCAATGGGACGGCCGATGCCAAGCTACTTTTGAACAGATCAAGCAATGTTTACAGAACCCACCTGTGTTGTCACCGCCTGAGCCGGGGAAACCGTTGATTCTATACCTTTCAGTGACTGAAACTACAATGGGCTGTATCCTTGCACAAGAGTTTGAGGACAAGGTGGAGAGAGCTATCTACTACCTGAGCAAGAAAATGCTGGATTACGAGACCCGCTACACTCCGCTGGAGAAGGCTTGTCTGGCCTTGGTATGGGCTACTAGGAAGCTGCGGCACTACCTGTTAGCTCACTCCGTAATACTAGTTTCGAGATTAGATCCCATAAAATATCTCTTCGAGAAACCGGCATTTACAGGTAGGCTAGCTCGTTGGTTGCTTCTGCTTTCCAAATTTGATCTGAAGTATGTGACGTGTAAGTCAGTGAAAAGGAGAGCGGTAGCGGAGTTCCTAGCTGATCACCCAGTTGAAGGGGATGAACCAGTTGAGTATCTGTTCCCAGATGAGGCCATTCTGTATGTCGAAGAAGAGACCTAGACGATGTACTTTGACGGAGCGTCAAACCAATATAGGTATGGGATAGGGGTGTTGCTGATAGCACTCGACAATTTCCTTATACCTTTAGCATTTAAACTCCGGTTCAAAGTATCGAACAATGAAGCAGAATATGAGGCATGTATTGCTGGACTAGAAGCAGCCCTAGAACTAGGGGCCAAACGGTTGGATGTCATCGGAGACTCGAACCTTATTGTATCTCAGGCTAAAGGAGATTGGAAAGTTAAAGAAAAAAAGATGAGAATCTATCACCAGACCTTGGACGTGCTAATTCCTCAGTTTGAGAAACTGAATTTTGCTCATCTCTTAAGAGAGAACAACAGGTTCGCAGATTCATTAGCAACTTTATCTTCTATGATAGACATCCCTTTTAGAGTCCGGATGCGTCCAATCATAATCGAACAGAAATTTGTGCCGGTCTACGAGCTAATTGCTGCCATAGATGAGGTTCAAGATGAGAACCCCTGGTATTACGATGTTTGGATCTTCTTGGACAAGGAAGCGTATCCACCAGGGGCAAATGCCAAAGATAAGAGGGCAATTCGAAGAATGGCTACTCAGTTCATCGTCTGTGGGGGTAAACTGTACAAGAGAGGCCATCTCGGAATGCATAAGCTGTGTGTTGATGCTGAAGAATCGAAGCGCCTGATGGAGGCCATCCATGGAGGAGAGTGCAGAGCGCACATGAACGGGGTGATGCTAGCCCGGAAAATCTTTAGACAAGGTTATTACTGGTCCACCATGAAGGAGGATTGTATTGGTTTTGTCCGGCGATGCCACAAATGTCAGATCCATGCAAACTGCATGAATATTCCACCGTCGAAGCTGTACAACATGACTTCGCCATGGCCATTCTCAGTCTAGGGAATTGATGTGATTGGGGCTGTTACTACAAAGGGATCCAATGGGCATGAGTTCATTCTGGTCGTGATAGACTATTTTACAAAGTAGGTTGAGGCCCAATCTTATGCGGTGTTGAAGGCATCGCACATTGCAAAGTTCATCAGAAACAACATCATCTGTCGCTACGAGGTCCCGAATGAGATTATTTCGGATAATGGTTCCCACTTCAAGAAGGAGGTGATCGACTTGTTGGATAAGTTCAACGTGACTTTTCATAAGTCGTCTACATATCGGCCGCAAACCAACGGAGCAGTTAAGGCCGCCAACAAGAACATCAAGCACATTCTGCAGAAGATGGTGGAAACCTACCGGGACTGGCCAGATAAGTTGCCATTTGCTTTGTAGGGCTACCGGACTTCAATTCGAACTTCTACTAGAGCAACTCCATACTCCTTGGTTTATGGGACGAAGGCTGTTTTGCCTATCGAAATTGAGGTTCCGCCATTACGAGTATTGGCTAAGTATCAAATAGCTAAGGCAGATTGGCAGCAAAGCAGGTTCGAAGAACTCATGCTGTTTGCCAGGGCTTTCAACAAGAAGGTTAAGTCTAGGAATTTAAAAGAAGGGGATCTTGTGCTCAAAGACAACCAAGCTCCCATCCATGACCCTAGGGGCAAGTTCAGGCCCAATTGGACTGGTCCTTACATCATCAAGTCTATCTGGTCGGGTGAAGCTGTCGTTCTGATAGACCTAGATGGCCTAGAGTTCTCCCAGCCGATCAATATGGACAAGTTGAAGAAATACTTTCCCTGAGTGGCTCGCTAGGCCGAAAACCCGAAAGGGCGACCTAGGCAAAAGTTAGAGCATGAAAAAAATTTGAAATTATAAAAACTGAGCTCGCAAGGTTGAAAACCCGCAAAGGGTGGCCTTGGCAAAAGTTAGTGCGCAAAAGGAGAGTGTTAATACATGAGTGAACCCAAGCTAAACTATGTAAGGCTTGATTCCCATCTTTGGGATACGTAGGCAACTTCATCCTGAAGTCCAGCCATAAACACTTCCCCAATCAACTTTGTCCATGTGATCATCTTGGTCATCTTTGTCTATTCTGCATTCAAGAGCTCGGTTGTGATCTCCAGTGCAGTGCTATTCAGACTAGGGGCAACTTTCCAGTTGCTGGGATCCGGGGTTGTACATCTCAGTGATAGATCTCAGGCGTGTCCAGTTCTGATCCATATCGAAAATGGTTTTGAAAAGTTTTAATAAAAGTTGATTTTGCTCAAATTAATCTTTTTACAACTTAGACCATTTTTGGACCAAACGAAAAATTTTCAGTACCCACAACCTTCAATCGCTTTGATTTCAGTACAGAGTTCTCCTACTCTTGAATACAAATTGAAGTTGCTTTTTATTACATTCATAAAGAAAACTTGAAAGTACTGATTAAAGCAAATAAATTCGGGGCATAGTCAGGTGTTCCTGCGTCTCCTCCCAAAGCTTGTGAAAGCCTCTGATGCCAAAGTGGGCCCGATCTGGCCTCCTCATCAAGCCAAGCTATGCACTCATCAGAGAGGGTGCAACTGAAAGTGGAAGTGGGGGCCAAAAGCTCTCTCGTCCTCCATGCTGTGGCATACCGGGCTAGCTGTGCGCCTCGGACCGCAAATGTAGCAGGGTACTCTCTTCCCTCCTCCGGGCAGGTCTGATCATGTCCAAATTGACGCCAGAATCGGAATGGAAAATAGAGCACGCAGTGTGTCAAGCCTATCAACTGAATCCCGGGCTGGCGAGTCATGCTGTAACTCATTGCCGGTAGATTGAGCCAAGGGTAGCGCCACGCAATGTGGTCTGTGGACAAACTACACATCCAATCACACCACCATTCCTCATCAGCGGCATCGACTAGACATCGCTGGAAGAAATAGCTGCGAGCTGAATATGCGGGGTATCAACCATACCTGGGGAGGGATGAAAAATGAGAGATTATAAAATAGAGAGGTGTACTATCACGCCCCAAACTTGCCCCTAAAAGTTTGGGCATGACCTACACAGAAACGGACGCATAACCTGGTATACATATCATATGGGGCCTGAACGGAAGCATTTACCAATATAAATTAACGTAAATAAAAGAACTACATCCATTGAGTGACCACTATCATGCCAGGATCACAGACAGAACATAAGGCAAATAAACATACAGTGACGTGCACCAGAGAGTTAGCTATGTACATATATATATACAGACCCAGCCCTTAGAGTTGGGCGTAAAACAACATGGACAGGCAAAGGAATTATATATACATCAACCTTAAGCAAACAATCAGAGTGTAAAATCAAAAGTTTAGCAAAAAGGGCTGCCTTCACTTAAGTGCCTGGATACTCTGAGGTTGACAAAAGAGGCACGGATGCCATGGGTTAAAACTGACCTCCAGGTGGGGTGCCTATAGAAACAGACATAAGACAAAGTGAGTCAAGCTCAGTGAACAGTAGTACATAAACAATTTAAAGATTAACTTAATTTACTTACATTGTACACATTTCTCTAATTAGATAAGTAAATGCAAAAATCCTGTGGTTAGTCTGATTCTGTACACATTTCAGAACAGTCTTGTCGGTTCATAACTTCATAGGTTGGCCCTTGGCCTGATGGGTTCACACATTCACAAATTAGCCCTTGGATGTTCATTCAAGAAACCACTACACCTTAACGGTCTTTTTCGAAATGAAATAGAAAAAAGAAATTAAATAGAAAAGGAAATTAAATAAAA